ACACCATTGAAAGAAGGCAGTACAATAACTATCACGTTCGTAACAACTGGTAACCAACCACCGCAGAAAGTAACGCTATCCGTGATCGCATGCTTTGCACCAAGCACCGCCACAACAATTGTCAGCAGTAGTACTGCTCCCATTACTGTCAGTGGACCTACACCAACATTGACCATCAGTTCAACAAGTACTGGAACTAGCAGGACAGAAGGTATAGTATATAAAGCAGTAGATATACCCCATTGGTTGAAAACACTTTTGATTAAAACTGTTACCGGCTTCCGATTCTATAAGTGAACAAATCTTGCTGCTTCTATCAAGACGCAAGTCTGTGAGAGTTGTCTGTCCGACTTGTATTTTGTCATAACAAGTTTGACTATAGCATGCTGAACGTGACATTCATGATATTGACCATATCACTGCAGAAATAGCCGGTTCATGTGATCAAATGCAAATGTATACTGTATTTTTTGAATTACTAGGTTCTGCAACTTCTAGAAAGAGTACTCAATTCAGCACTGCATCCTCCGAGTCGGCAGAGTCAGGTGCTTCGACCAGACCATCGACGAAATCTAGTAGAATATAGTTTTCATCCTAGTGAAACTTTTACAAATAATCCTTGTTTTTTGTTCTAGCACCTTCATCATCGGCAAGTGAAACTGGATTAACAACAAGCCAACCTTTCACAACCACTATGGTGTGCCCGCTCACAGAAGGTAAGCACATTTCGAATGATGACTACTAATCCACGATTCATCTATTCTAGGTATGACAAGCCCTCAATACCTCGGCTCGCCCCAACTAACTGGTGCCAAAACTGGAACAGTACCATCGGATCTTAAGCCAGGGTCGTCCGGTGTTACTTTTACTACGCCGGATGCCAAAGTAGTAATACCACTGGCAACAGGCATAACACCGATCCTGAGTAAAGTTTCGGTACCGAACCGGTTGACAAATGTCGTTGAAATCACGGTCACATTCACACCAGCGACTTCAGACACACCAGTGCGCCTAACATCACCGAGAGGAACGAACACAGTTGATAACTTCCCGATTACACCATTGAAAGAAGGCAGTACAATAACTATCACGTTCGTAACAACTGGTAACCAACCACCGCAGAAAGTAACGCTATCCGTGATCGCATGCTTTGCACCAAGCACCGCCACAACAATTGCCAGTAGTAGTACTGCTCCCATTACTGTCAGTGGACCTACACCAACATTGACCATCAGTTCAACAAGTACTGGTTTAAGTGCTGGTACGAGTGAGAAAATTTTAGCTTGTTCTGCTTGTTAGCGATAAGGTGAAGGTTATTGGAATGATGTTTTTTGTGATCATATTCGACGCTTTAGAGTTAACATTATAGTTCACATCGTGTGCGGTTATTCGGTTTTTAGGAGGAGCAATTTTGTTGACAGTTCGATTTCAGTGTGTCATTGCCACTGAATAGTTAGATGATGGTTTCGCTTGGCGTTACTGATATGAGCACTCAGGTGTTTAGTGTAGCATAGGTATTTGGTGAATTTGGCGGTGGTGATGTTTATCTGACTTGAGCACCTCTGCAGTGTAATTTTTTTTCGTAATTCTAGAAAAGCAAAAATGACGTTGAATAGTTTTGAGGGAATTTTCAAACGCTTGTGATTTCTTAGTTGATTTTTCAGTTTTCATGAGATGTTTGATTTTTGTAAAAATATGAATTCAAATTTATTCTGCAGTAATAGGCGGTAGATGGAAAATAGGTAGTGGTTTTCAAGAAAATGAAAGTCCAGCCTGAAATCATAGACTTTTCTAGAATTTGACCGAGCTTTTTCTATAGTGGATTTCCTACTTTTGCAGTGTATAATGTGTTGTGTCGCGTAAACCTGATCTCTACGATTTATATGAGTTTAACGAAACATGTATGTGACGGTTTTTCCCGGTTAGAGTAAATCAATGTATTTTTATTATGTCCGATGCAGTTATATTGAGGAAGGAATTGCTTTCGATAGATTTTAATGCACACTTTCTTGACTTGCTCTCAGGATGGATAGCGATATGTTGCATCGGTTGATAGATGTAGTAGTAGTCACTCAAGTTTACTTTGCCTCTCTAATATACTTATGAAACTAATCATCTCTTGAGACTTACTATGTGCTCTAAAAGTAAAACAGAAATTATATCGTCGGACAATGACGAACGTTTTTTAGTGTAGGTTCTGTCAATATAATAGTTCAGAGTTTCGTTTGTTTCCGTGGCATGGCGCTGTATGATGAAAGATGAATTTTTGCGACATTCACTGGATTCGTACGATATAGATAGATGATTATTGATATAGTTTTGTTTTTGCTGCGATTTTCTGGAAGGGAAGACAATGTTATGATTAGAATGCTGATCATGCGTGTCAATACATATCTTGCAGGAATAATTTCTGTTTGGATAGGTATATAGCATAGAAAATTCGTGATAATCCACTATCAGTGCAAAGATAATGTTAGAATAGGCCCCCAATTTTTCTACTGTGGTAAAACAATATAAATTTTGCTGAAAAACCATTCTAAAATATACATACGTTTCAAAAGGAACCCATAAAATAACGATCATTGGTCATGATGAGGTAAATCAGAACCTATATGTTTACCGAGTTCGTGCGCTCTGAGGGAATTTCAAAACATGAAGTATTAGATTTTGCACCTGGTCTTAGATCTTTTTTCGCTGACCACTTAATCTTTTCAAACTGTACACCAAAGAAAATCTTCCTTCAATCAATGTTCATCTGGACACACGGATAACTGACAAGGTACCGTCACTCATTAATACGTACATTGTAGCTGAATTTAATAGCATCATTCGCTTTTGTATCTCACTTATTTCGTTATCGCACGTACTACATAATGAAAATTATTCCTAACTTTCATGTTTGCACGAATGTCGTCTTCGTTATCGAGATCTCAATCTTCATTTTGCTGCTCCCTAATTCAGAATCATGGCAGCCTATAACTTCACAGCATCAGATTCCGTGGAAATTTTTGTTTCACCCTTACTCCAACCAATTTTGTAGAGAATTACTCACCGTCTACTAATATCACAACGACCTAGACCAACTCCTCCCAATTCATGAGCGCCATCTAAATGAAACCTATTCACATATATGGGTTCAGGCAATGAAATGTCTGTTGATCACCAATGCTCCATATCACACCTTTAACTTCCCATATCAACGAATGTCATAGAGTAATATTTCAATATACTGCCGAGTACCCTACCCTTTCGGCTAAACTTCATACATTCTCTACAATTCTACCAACATTTTCTTTCCCAGAAGAGATACACCCTGAACTAACAACCATCCCACACACTTCTCACTTCTGCATTCCCCTTCAATGCCAAGGTGTGATATACACAACATTTCCACACTTTACGTCCACCATAATATCCGAAACTCTACTATCATTTTATGAATACTTCCAATGAACTTTCCATCACAATCTACACCTGGATCTTTTTTTATCCATAGGAACCACGTACCCAGTCACCGGAACCACAAAAGCATCGGCACCAACTGAAGTCACAATCCCTACAACTATCGGAATACCAGCTACAACAGCCGGTAGTAAACAAACTGAGACTACTACTGGACCAGCAACTGGCCAATCAAGCACACAAGGTAGCGCAGGAACAACAGGACCTACCAGTGAAACTGAAACGACATTCCCCACAATAGCCGGTAGTAAAGCAGCTGTGACTACAGCTGAAGGGGAAGGTAGCAAAGCAAGCACTGTAGGTGCTGGAATGAGTGAAACGACGAGTGGTTTGGGAATCTCATTAGCGTCTGGTTTCCCTATAGGAAGAACTTCAATAGTCACTGGTAGTGGCTCGATGCTTTCCACGATCACGGGAGGTTGTTTTTGTTATCGAGGATATAGCGTTTGTAAGGTGCTGATTTCATGTATGAATGTGGGACATGTATCAACGATTGCCAAAAAAATTGTTTTTTCTGAGTGTCGATTAGCTGAGATGTTTATATACTTTCTGGTAGAGTATCTTTGTCTAATTATGTGACAGTTGCATGTTGGATTTGCTTTGCTGTCTGGGAAAGTGAGAGTCCATGGCGTGTATATTTTATAGGGATCTGTAGGTGTATCCGAGTGTTCAGCGTCATTTAGTAAATGGAAAGAAATGAAATCGGGTATAAGTGGCGGTGTCGTATGAGTGATGTATGAATGCGTTATGAAATCATGTTGAGAATGTGGAATAGTTGCTGGGAGAGCCGACTTTACGGTTTGTTTAGTTCGCTCTGGTTATAAAACTGCTCGTAACTATATTTGAAATGGAGTGTGAGTAGTGCATTAGGCAAATTTCAAATTCGTGACTATTGCGTGATATTTTCGAAATACGCACTGATGGTTTGTGTTGATGTTGTGAAACACAATGCCGACCTGTGGGAGGTGTTTTTTTTTATAGTAGATCAGATCTTCTTTGGCAAAATATGTATAGACTGGTGAAGGCTTTAGATGAAATACCTTTCAGCAATAGTGGATTTGATGAAATGTTCACTTGATAGATTGCTTCAAATTATGCTGAATGTTTAATGTAGCTACATTATAGATTACTTCGTTTTTTAATACACAAATAAGGAATGAAATAATTGTATCGAAGAATTAAAATATTGCAATCTGTTGGCGAGGAATTAAAGTTTTTGACCACTAATTTGTAGATGACTATTGGTAATGTATTACACACTGGTTTTGGATACTATTTCTTTCCTTGTAGCAGAGGCTAACTTTACGTACCCCAAAAAAGCCAGCTTCTGATTGTTGTTGTATCTGCTGTATGAATGTTTGAGTCAAACTCTGTGTATCAGACTACTATGTAACATTATTCTTAGATACATATATGTTATTAATGCAACGATCTCTTTTCTATGATATTTATTGTGTTGCGTGCCTCATCTGCATATTGATCATCTAGACGTTGAATTTTTTTTATTAGGAACCACAGAAATGTTCACAACACTAACAACCACTTCATGTTATTCGGCAGATGTTATGTATCATGAAAATGCTGTTTTATCAATCAAGCAAATCGAAACAAATCTTGCTATACCGATAAGTTCTTTACGTACTGATGGCACAGGTGTTACGTTTTCTAATGTGAAACAACCAACGCTTTTAGTCACGCTTAATAGTACGGCTGTTTCTCAGATTATCTCAATCTCGATACCAAGTGTAAACGGTGCTAGTAACGTAAATCAAATTCAACTAACATTTTATGGTAGGAATGGCCAAATTCTTCTAAATTCACTGGGTGCACCGTGGATTGCTGAAACAACGCCTGGTGTGACAACAGTATGTTTTCTATTTCAGTTTATATAAGAATGAAATTGTTGTTGTTGTTTTTTCAGCTAGAAAAACTCATACCGCAAGTGCCTGTTGGTGCATTTGAGATTAAATTTATCAATACAACGGATAGAGATGTACCCAGAAATGTTACCCTTGAAATCATTGGATGTATTCATGCATGTAAGAACCTGATAAACTAAATTGTGATATACATCACATGTTGCTTATTTTGATCTAGATTATTCTGAATCAACTATTGAAAGTACTAGTGCTAGATAGAACTTGAACATGAGTTTATTACATTTTTTCCATATAGAAAACTATCAGATAGAATGTTACGCAAAAAAGAATCTTTCCAAAATAAATATAAAAGTTTAGGGTGAAAGAAAAATTCATGGATTTATCTGCTGCTATCGTATACTCTAAATCTAATTCTATTATGTATTATAAAGTATACAAAATTCTACAGGTCATTTGAAACTTTGAAAACTGATCATTCTAATATTAAAAAACGGAAAAGTTTTTCAGAATATAATAAGTAAACATAATTTTTGTCAATCTTGAAATAAAACTTAACTATTCAATTTTATATATTTAGCAGTAGCAAAAAATGTATTATTTTATTTTAATATTCACAGTTAAAATGTTTTAATAACATTGATTTCTTTCGTTGTAGTTACTACATTATCAACGACAGCCGCATCTACTTATACAACAACTAGTCCATGTTTGATAACGAATGGTATGACCGATGTAAACGTTATTCCAAATGAAAACATTGTTAATAGTAACAATGTATCAATTGGTGATCTAATTCGTTTAATTGGCACAAGCTTAGGTTACACACCAATATCAGAAAATGATAAAATTACAATAAAATTAACAAATGATCATTCCGAAATTGCTATTGGTCAAATAATAATCTCGGCACAAACTTTTCAATCAGCCATATTATCAATAAAAACGAAAAATGACAATACATGGACAACATATGCAACATTAACAAGTACTACGACAACATTCGATAATCTATATGCCACCGAATTGCAATTTCAATTTACACCAAATACTAAATCTATTAAGTTAGGCATTATTGGTTGTTTTCCACCGACAGGTAAACATTTATTTTTGTTTTTGAATTAAAATCAAACTTAAAATCTATAAATATTTAATTATTCTTAGTGACAACAATTATATCGTCGACTGCAAGCCAATATACTACATCTTCATCGACTGGTACAACTTCTGCTTGTGTTCTTAGTGAATGGGGAGCTTGGTCAACATGCTCACTTGAATGTGAACCAAAACGTGATCAATCTCGATCACGTTCAGTTCTAGATGGTACATGTCGAAAACCATTAGATGAAACGCAACCATGCGATCAAACACCTTGTGAACAATGTACGATGACACGTGAGAAATACATTGCTGAATTAGAACTTGTACCGCCAAGTGATTGTAAGTTCGATTTCTTGTTAACTAAATTAGACAAAATCGAAATAATTGTATTGTTTTTCTTTTGAAGACTTTGTGGGATATTTAATGAACGCAATAACAGCTGCTGTAACAAATACATCGGTTCATATCGGTGATATACTTGATCGTAATACAACTGTATTTGTTGATAATTGTACACGACTTATGTGTAAATCTAACGGAATTGAGAAACAAAAAGTTCCATGCCAAGGTAAATATTTTTTTATTCATCAAAAACATGAATTTTATTATTTTCATATGTAGAAGATTGTAAATATACGCCATGGTCCGAATGGAGTATCTGTAATGCTTCATGTGGTCAAAATGGTAATAGAACACGTAAACAAAGTTTAATCATGAAAGATTCATCCTTACCAAATCCATTATGCTTAAGAGATATAATTGAAATATTACCGTGTACTGGTCAGCCATGTCCATGCACGAAAGGTATCAATTGTACATGTGATTTAACCGATTGGAGTCAATGGTCAGATTGTTCTTTACCATGTGGTGGTGGTCAACGAGAACGTACACGCCAATTTAAAACCAATGAAACAGAAAACTGTACACCAAATAATTTACGTGAAGTACAATCATGCAATGTCAATTGCTGTCCAGTAGATGGAGAATATACACCATGGTCTCAATGGTCAACATGTACAACAGCATGTGGTTCAGGAGTACGTAAACGCCATCGAACATGCACGGCTCCAGCACCATCGTGTAACGGCAAACTATGTAATGGAAATCGAGAAGATACACAAGTATGCAACACACAGCCATGTGGTAAGTAAAATCATACGGAATGAATTGAATTATTTTATATTAAATATTTTAACAAATCAATTATATTTGTTCTTATAGACGACAAATGTAACAATGATCAAATATACAGTGAATGTGCTAATGAATGTGATACATCATGTGATTCATTAACATGCAATGGTCAATGTCAAAAACCAGACAAATGTGTACCAGGTTGTGTCTGTCCTGAAAATAAAGTCATTGGACCTGGTGGCAAATGTATTAATCTTAAAGATTGTCCGTGTCGATTATCATCTGATAACACAACATTAGTCAATGGTGAAAGCAATGTTGGAGATCCGTGTAAAACATATACATGTAAAAGTGGTTGTATGGTAACTACCGATAAGAATTGTAGTGTATGTGAATGGTCACCATGGACACCATTCTCTGATTGTTCGAATGCATGTAATGGTACACATAGTCGATTCCACACATACGATGGACCTAATTGCCCAGATAAACGCACTGAAGAAGATAAAAAACCATGCTCATCGAATTGTACAATTGTTTGCTATGTAACAACTTCAAATGGTTCTGTAGTTAATTATAATGTTGGTGAACTGGTGTCACAAACAAGTTGTAATCGAACGTAAATATTTTGCTCTTTTATTCTTTATAATAATTTATCATCGTTTTCTTTGATTTTATATTTTAGGGTTTGCCGTGAGACAGGCTCCATCGAAACTCAACCAATTGATGGAACACGCGTCGATGGTCAATGGAATGTATGGTCACCATGGAGTGAATGCAGTAAAACATGTAATGGAACACGTACACGGTATCGATTATGTTCATCGCCGCAACCAGAATGTAACGGAGAAATTTGTAAAAAATCACCTCATACACAACTCGATATTGTTACACTGAAAAATAATTCAACAGCTCTTGAAGAAATTGAACGTGATAAATGTAATCAACTTTGTAAGTTCAGATAAAAATTATGTTCTACAAAAGTATGGAATCTCTACATATTCTACTAGGTTTTACAACTACAACATCCATTTCTACAACTGTGACAACTCCTCATGAGGAATGCTTAATGTTAAATGGGACAAATGTTATTGTTCTAACAGTAAGTTTCTCAATAGTTGAAAAAGAAAAATACGTATAAATTATGACTAATGTATTTAGCCGCAACAAGTTATTATTAATCCAACAAATTCATGTGAAATTTGCCTATGTAAAGATGGTACAGCATTATGTTCATCAACTTGTTCTGAAGATGAACAAACGTGTTTATCTAAACAATCTCAAGATAAAAATTATATTTATACATGGATAGCACCACAACGTGGACAATGTTGTGGCACATGCAACAAGACTAAAGGTATAGAAATTAATAATATCTATCTTGTTTTAATTTTCTTTCGTTATAGTTGAAAGTAAATGTCGTGTGGAAATATTAAAAGATGAATATGTTCGTGCTGGTGGATGTGTATCATTCAATCCTGTTGGCCGTGAAAAATGTACTGGTGGTTGTGATTCTCAATCGTCTAATGTGTTGACAATTGCAAACATATCTTATCAATTGGGTAATTCAACATGTTACTGCTGTGCACCAAAAGAAACCTATACGGAAACAATCTCAATGGATTGCAAAGCAATAGGTAACTTGGGATATGTTGAATACGCTACATATACTCACATTCGCTCATGCGATTGTCAAGCTTGTATTGGCAAGGCTTAATCATTTTATTTATCCTATTTTAACCATATTTATGTAATCAGAACATCATAAACTATTTCTTCCTTTTTTTTCTTTGATTATGATGAAATTGCAAACGTGTGCTCATTCACGGTTTAAATAAATATTATCATCATGATTTCTGTTCGTTCTTTTATTCAATTTATTTAGTAGATTAATCAGGATTATGCTCTCCAATTAATCATTTAGATCCATATATCTTCTATTCCAATATTATTATATTGTCGTTGATTTATGGTAGATGAAATATTAAACTAAGTTTAGTATTATAAAAGGTCATTCCTTACCTCTTTCTTTATTGCTGTAATAAGAATAACAAAAAATGATCGCCAGCTATCAAAGCATTTTCAATGCAACATATATATGTATGAGTAAATCCATTGTTTTGATATTGTAGACTGATGTCTAATTGGGTATGGCTGTGCCTATAGGAGAAATGGAAAACAATATTCACACCCAAACCCTCAAGATAGGCCAGTTGCACAATGGATTATATATATATATATATATCAATATGATATTTCATTTGAGTGCTCTTACCTTTCATTGTGATTAGGGATGCACTGATTCCTACACTATGCTTTTAAAAATGACATTGTTTTGCCATAAAGACTTGCGCTATATACGAAATTTTTACATTCGTTTTGGCCAGTTTTTCATGCTCTATCTGAATCAGCCATAAAAATTCATCTACTGTAAAATAACCCTTTCGGAGTCGGTGTGGAATCGGTCAAAAAGTGAAAATTTAAAAACATTTTTCGACCGATTCCGACCGATTCCAACTGAATTACAGATTTATCTTCCGTATTAGAATATTCCTGGAGATAGATTTGAAAAGAGCGTTCAAAACTGAGCAGAAATAACATATATCAAAAATCTATCAGAGTATGTCAAGTGTCGATGCTGAGCAAATATTTTTGCAATCAGAGAAAAAATAATTCCAGCCGATTCCTAGAATTTCTTAGGAACGTTTTAAATACTGGGAAAACTTGGAGTTATGAGATTCTGATAGATTTTTCATATATTTCTCCTCAGTTTTGAACGCTCTTTTCAAATCTATCCCCAGGAATATTCTAATACGGAAGATAAATCTGTAATTCAGTTGAAATCGGTCGAAAAAATTTTTAAATTTTCACTTTTTGACCGATTCCACACCGACTCCGAAAGGTTTATTTTACAGTGGGTGGACTTTGACGGCTGATTCAGATAGAGCATGAAAAGCTTGCCAAAACGAATGTAAAAATTTCGTATATAGCGCAAGTCTTTATGGCAAAGCAATGTCATTTTTAAAAGCATAGTGTAGGAATCGGTGCATCGCTAGTTGTGATGGGACTCGAATCAAATATGAAATATAACTGACAATTTGATTCGATACTTCTAGGCCCTTAGCAATTTAATTAACATTAGACTTTGATCTGATCAAAATATGGCAAAGTGATATATATACTCAAACTTGCATCGAATATTGGCGGCGTGAAAAAAGGTTGCCGACCAGAGTTTCATATGGACCAATTTTTTCGGTCTGGCTTTTAGGCTTTTGATTCACTGGAATAAATTGATTTAATACTTTACTATACTTCAATCTATTCTTGCTATTGTAATAATTTGGTTGCGGGCACATCTCTAGTTAAACTTCTTGTCAACAAGATCTGAACATATTGGGACCGGTAAGTAAGTTCTTATCAAGATCTTAAAAAGATAATTTGTATGTACCCAGGTCGTTTTTTATTTATACAGAGCTGAATATAAGCAACATGATGGAACATACGAAACATCATTTTTCAGATGTTTCTCTAAACTATTTCTCGATTATTGATTATTCAAGAGAAAACTGATCTCGATCGATCATCGAGAGAGGACTACCCTAAATTGCTCTGACGGATATCGAACCAAGCTAAAGTCAGTCAGATCTCAACATCTGACTTGCTTGAGTTATTCGGGACAGGAATAACAAAAATAAATTGAAAAAATATCAAAACATGCTTTCAGAATGCGTCATCCAAAATCTTATGGATTCTTACCTAAGATATCTGTAATGAAATCTCGGTACAAGATAATCATACTATACTGTAGCTAAATTTTCAAGATCTGTTCACTTATCTGTACCCAAGATCTTGACCAAGAGTTAACTTACAAGATGTTCGACTAGGGCTGTTATTTAATACTCCGGCTCATTTAATAAAAGACTGATACAAGTAGCACCCGTCGCCATGACTTGCTTGATCATGGATTGAGTGAGAACCAAGGGGGAAACATCGTACTTTTGTACTTTAAGTACTTTGAGGTACTTTGAGGACTCAAAGCACGATGTTTCCCCCTTGGTGAGAACTCGTGATTCCTTTTCAGTGTCTCATAGATGCGTGCTTGATAAAATTAAAAACGATATTTACGATACGTGTTACGGTAAAGTTCATATTGACCAAGGCGCTGGGTG